CACACACACACACACACACACACACACACACACTCACACACACACACAAACATTCACCCACCCCCAAGCTTATAATCTGATCCACTACCATACTGGAATCGGTCATCTTTGGCCGTACGGAATCCCATACAAATACAAGGTAACATTATTGATTGTGCGCCTCTCTCTCTCTCTCTTGCTGGCCCGAAGTATTGATTCTGATGCTGTGCAGTTCCTTTAAAAAAATTCCTTTACCAAACTCTATCAGGAGCTGGGGGGGGGAGCTCTCGTGGCCTAGAGGTTAAGGAGTTCGCCTCTCATTCAACGGGCTCTAGGTTCAAATCCGGACAGCGATGGAAATTTGTCTTGTTTAAATTGTCTCCTTTCACTCACTTTCACCCCCTTTCCTGCTCTCTAGCAATATTCTGTTGCCTGCTCTCGTCTTCACTTTCTGTCTCACCCCCTCACCTCTTTTGCCCCCTCCTCTGGGCTCCCGGCTCTTTCTGCAGCCTTTCTACTGCTACTCATTGGCTCCTTCTTACTTCTTACTTCTGTCTTTCAGCCACACCCCAGATCTTATGGTAGGAAAGATCTACATCTAGCCTTCTCGGACAAGGGCGAAAAATCTCGGAGCTCCCGTGTGCAAGTTGTGCACGTTAAAGATCCTACAGTGGTCCAAAATCGATGAGAGTGGCCGCCACCCGAGCAAAATTCAAAATTTTCATCCAACTGAAAAATGTTTGACGTGTCCCGCGCACTCATATATGACGTCATGCAGTTATTAGCGAGCGCCGTAAAACGCTCACATAAAAAGAAAAGAAAAAAAGAGAGAGAAGCTAATATCAACACAACCAGCCTTGAAAGTGGTGAACATAGGCCTAGATCTGGTAAATCACTAGATCTCTAGATCTGGTACATCACTGGATCTTTAGATCTAGATCAATTGGCAAAAAACGCAGAAAAAAACTCAAGCGAACGAACGCCACACACACTCATACTTGACAAAACAAGCTATACGTGAGCCCGTTACAAAAGGTCAAGGCCGACACTGATTTGCTGGGGTGTTTTTTAAGCCCCAGGCCTATTTCGTTCGGCCCAGACTTGCAGACCCAGTGTGTTGGCTCATTTTGTTTCCCAGTCTCGTTTCTGACCAAGGATTCACAGCTGCTTAGAGCTTAGCTTTCTTCGAGCTTAAACAGTCTACAGAGGGAATTAAAGATCTGGTCGCCGGAGTTATTTCTCAACGTAAGTTAACGTTAATTCTTTATCATTTCAATAGTAGAAAAAGAATTTTATTGCCTGTAATTTGTATTGTGTTTTCTTATCTAGATTTATGTGTGAATTGAACCAGTGGGTTCTATTTCTTATTGCAAATCTGAATGAATCGGAGGTAGGAAGATTTCAGTTTGTGTTAAGTATAATAATAATCCTCCTGTAATAGGTCTTACATGGAACACTGTGGCCTTATTTCTTCCTTGTCCCAATGACAGCGCTGCAGCTGTCCTTCATCTTTGCTTTTTGTGGATTGTGGGTAGATAATGGATAAACTGTAATGACCATTATTTCCTTTACAATGTATGCCGTCACTTTCAAAATCATTCGAAATTCGAATGCCGCTATTCTACAAAAACAAATCTAAAATTAGATTAATATTGCTCATGTATGTGTTTCTTTCGTTCTGTTCCAAGCTATTTAATTAATATATTATCAACTGTAGGCCTATTTAGTACATGATGCATCATCATCATCATCCTTTTCCTTTTGAATAACGTTCACTTTGGTCTGATAGACCTGTGCATGTACAATGTATTGTTTTTTTCCCTAAAAACAAAGACTAAGAGGGTTGAATAGTTGAATGAGGAATGGACGATTTAAGCAGATGTAAGCCACGCGGTGGCGTTTGCGCTCAGCGCAAGTCTTAAGCTAATAGATAGTTCGATTGACTTGTGTACTTTAAATTTAAGTATTTTTAATTTTTAAAAAAATATTGTCATTAATTGTGGCGTTGGTGATCTTGTGGGTTGGCTCTAGGACAACTGTAAAAGGCTTTGGGTTCGAATCGCGTCAGAGGCTAGGCATGTGTTCTTGGGAAAGGCTCTTTACATGGATTTTCCTTACTTCAACTTCACCCCGGTGGATATGGGTACTCGCCTATAGACAGCTAAAGATCCAGGTTTTAGAGAGTGTTAATCCACAATGTTAACTGTATTCTTCCTGGGAAACTGGGAATGTTTCTATGACATGTGCTTGGGTCTTCTGCGTTAGTAATACAATGTACTGTAGTTGTAATAAAAGCATATAGAGCATGTCGTAGAGCGTGGATGTAAGCTAGAATCTAGATCTATAGGCTTGTAAATTATTATACTTTTAGTTTGTAAAACCGAAAGCCCTGAAGATTCCATTAGTTTATGCTTCTAGTCAAGTATTTATTCTAAGCACGATATGTCGAGCCCATGCCATACACAGCACATCATCCTGTCCAGTAGTGTGGAGTCGTCCCGGTATTTGCGCTGTTATATTATTTTTTATCATGTGGTTCTTCCTCTTTATAGGCCTACGCAAAAGACGCGGGTTCGACTCCCAGTGAGAAGACGTCTTTAACTATCGAGTATCTCCATCATTCTGCAAGGATGCCGTAGCCCATTCAGACGGATTTGCCTTGACAAACAAGATCGAAACAGCCTGCTTATAAGATTCTAAAAAGTGTGAATGGGGGCGTAGCCTAGGCCTACTCACTACTCAGGATAAATCAATGTGTTTATTCTTGTTTTTTAAATTTCATTTAATCATCAAACCGGGTTATTTTTATGTGTCTATGTTTTTTTTGTGGGTTTTTTTTGTTCTACACAGTTGGAAGCACAGTGAGCCCAAAACACCCCTACATTCCCGTATCTTCGTCAGCTGTAAGCGTCATGTCGACCCCCAAACTGTTCTACTTCGACATAATGGGTCGGGCAGAAATGATCCGACTCGTGTTTGCTGCTGCAGGGAAACAACTTGAGGACGTTCGGTTTCCTGAGACAGAGTGGCCACAGTACAAAGAAAGTTAGTATGAGGCCTACGTCTGGTGGCGTCGCCATTTCTTCGTCTGTCCTACAGCGCTGATCACCACTTATAACAAAGCCGCAGTCTTTGTTGTTGTCGTTGTTGCTGTTGTCGTCGTCATTGTTGTTGTTGTTGTTGTTGTTCTTCTTCTTCTTCTTCTTCTTCTTCTTCTTCTTCTTCTTC